ATATAATTTGTGCTTTCAACCATATGGTTATTGGGGGATAGGCTACCATTTGCTTGTTCTTTTTTGATCTCTTTCAAACCCTACTGAACTATCCATGGCAGAAAATGTTAGACATGCTTTTGTGGAGAGGGACATAAGCTTAAAAATGCAAGACAGCATTGGCGCCGTGCGGAGAAGGAATGGATGATCTCAAGCACAAGAGCCAAAATATTAGCACTGGCCTCACGAGGAGCGAGTAAGTCTCTACACGGTTGTAGCTGACATTCCAGAAGTCACATACGCATGTACTGATAAAGAAGTACCTTTATTTTTAATTTTCATTCACATGTTGTGACATGGACGACCTTAATGAAGAAGAGGTTTTTGTTTGTCGGAAAGAAAAAATCTTGCTAATAATCAAAGAAGTTTATTCTTCCTTGAAGGACTGAAGTTTGATGAATCTTGAGGCTTGAAGCTGTACAGGAAAGGGCATGGAGGAGCAGGAACCAGGACAGCACCTTCAAGCATCATAGTGACTGTTCTCATGTTAGGCCTTTGTGATGGCTCATCCTGCACGCACCACATTGCCACCTTCACCAGCATCTCCACCCTCCCCATATCGTTTCTTGCTTCTTCATCATTTTCCACTAACTTCCCCAAATTCCCTTCACTGTAGCATTCATATGCCCATTCTGTTAGGATTGCTGCCTCCTCCGTCTCAAACATGACACATCGTCTGCAACAGATGATCTCCAACAACACTACTCCAAAACTATATACATCTACTTTCACCGTGACGGGAGTGCTCCTAAACCACTCTAGTGCAACATACCCTTTAGTTCCCCTGATGCCTGTCAGGGTATGGCTTTTGCTATTAATCAGAAGTTTTGCCAATCCAAAATCTGAGATTTTTGCAGTAAAAGAATCATCCAGGAGAATATTCTGAGGCTTTATGTCACAGTGAATGACCTGAGTGCTGCATTCTTCATGCAGATATGTTAGTCCTCTTGCGATTCCAGATGCAATCCGCAGTCTCTGCTGCCAACTAGGCCTCAGAACTCCGAACAAGAAGCTCGCCAGAGATCCGTTCTGCATCAACTCATACACCAGAAGCCGGTGTTCAGCCTCATCACAATATCCAAGCAATCTAACCAGATTCCGGTGGTGAGTTTGTCCAATCACATTCACTTCTGTCTTGAACTCTTTTTCCCCTTCCTGAACGACCTTGTCTAGTTTCTTCACAGCAACATAATTCCTGGACAATTCTCCTTTATAAACAGTTCCAAAAGAACCCTTTCCCAGTTCTTCACTGAATCCTTTTGTGGCATCTTTGAGTTCTTTGTATGTGAAGGAACGCAAATTCGTCTCAATCTCTCCTTTCCTGTTGATCTTACTCAGATCTGGAAGCTTTCTTTGGTAGAAACAGATGAGAAACAAGGAAACTACAACCAAAGTAAGGATGTTGAAAAATGCTGATGTGCCTAAGAGGACTGAGAGAATGAGAACGACTTGATTTTGCCTTTTAATGCCTGGATTTGAATTGGGAGGACTCAACTGA